CCGTAGCTCTAACAGAATAGTACGTAGTAGTAGTAGTAGTGCCGTAGTAGTTCAGTAGATAAATGTAGCATCAGCTCAGTAGTAACAGCAGAATAGATAGTAGTCGTCGTCGATCATACTATTCGTAATAATAAGTAGTTAGTATAGTTAGTTAGTAGTAGTCGTAGCTAGTAATAAGTCGTCGCCGTCGTGTCGTCGACCGTAGAAGTGTTAGCACCTCAAGCAGTAGTTGTAAGTAGTAGTCGAGGCGATATTCAAGTAAATACTCGTCAAGTAGTCAGTAGTAGTAGGTTAGTAGCAGTAGTAGCTAAATGCTAGTAGTATACGTCCCATAAGTCGACAAAGTAGTTAGTACTAACGTACGAGAAGCTAGTAGCATAGTCAGTCGCTACTAGAGAAGTAATAAGCCCAATAATAGCAAAACGTAGTAGCGGTAGTTAGACCATAGCCCGTAGTACAGCAAAAGCAGCCCAATAAACACGAGACATGCGGCGACGTAATAATTCATCCGCATCCAGTGAAACAATAGCCCCCCAGTACTGACGTGGTTACGCCTAGCCCAATCAGTGAGAATACAGTTGCATACCCCCCCCCCCCATTACTAATATGTAGTAGTTAGTAGTAGTAGTAGTAGTAGTAGTTAGTAGTAGTAGTAGAGCAGTAGTATAGTAGTGGTAGTAGTAGTCGTAGTAGTAGTAGTAGTAGTAATAGTAGTCGTAGTAGTAGTAGTAGTCGTAGTAGTAGTAGTAGTAGTAGTAGTAGTAGTAGTAGCATTAGTAGTACTACTACAGCAGTAGTAGTCAGTAGTAGTTCGTGGGCAATGAGTCGTAGTAGTAGTAGTAGTAGTAAGCATTAGTAGTACTACTACAGCAGTAGTAGTCAGTAGTAGGAGTGGTCGTAGCAATCGTAGTGACATAAGTAGTAGTCGTCGTAGTAGCAGTAGTAGTAGTAGTGGTAGTAGCAATAGTAGAAGTAGTAGTAGTAGTAGTAGTAGTAGTAGCAGTAATAGTACTAGTAGTAGTAGTAGTGGTAGTGGTAGTCGCAATAGTAGTAGTAGTAGTAGTAGTAGTAGTAGTAGTAGTAGTAGTAGCAGGTGGTACAAGTAATAGTTCGTCGTAGGAGTAGTAGTAATCATACTAGCACTGTTAGTAGCAGTACTAGGAATAGTCGTAGTGGGCTTAGTACTGGTCGTAGAACGGAAGGAGAAGGGAGGGAGCGGAGGGAGGCACCAGGCCCAATTTTCAAACAAAAAATACAAATTATACCGTCGCTTCGGTCGTTTTCAAATCGCACACGTGTACGAATACATGCTGGCTCGTGCCTGGTGATACATAGAACCCGGGAAAACAACAAATTGAGGTGCGGGGGGGGGGGCTATGCGGTAGTAGTAGTAGTAGTATTAGTAGTTAGTAGTAGCAGTAGTAGTGTAGTAGTAGCATCTATAGTAGTAGTAGTAGTAGTAGTAGTAGTAGTAGTAGTAGTGGTGGTAGTAGTAGTAGTAGTAGTAGTAGTAGTAGTAGTAGTGGTAGTAGTAGTAGTAGTAGTAGTAGGAGTAGGAGTAGGAGTAGTGGTAGTTGTTGTTGTAGTAGTTGTAGCCGCAGTACAATAACGTAGCAGTGGTAGTAGTAGTAGTAGTAGTAGTAGTAGTAGTAGTGGTGGTCGTGGTAGTAGTAGTAGTAGTAGTAGTAGTAGTAGTCGTAGTCGTAGTAGTAGTAGTCGTAGTAGTAGTAGTAGTAGTAGTAGTAGTGGTAGTACTAGTACTAGTAGTAGTAGTAGTAGTAGTAGTAGTAGTAGTAGTAGTAGTAGTAGTAGTAGTAGTATTAGTAGTAGTAGTAGTAGTAGTAGTAGTAGTAGTCGTCGTAGCAATAGTAGTAGTAGTAGTAGTGGTAGTAGGGGTGCACCTGGTCCTCGTGTCGCTACAAACCTCACCTTCGTGTACTCTTCTTTTGTATCAGGCCTAATAGAGAACCTTCCAAGGGAATTCCGAAAACCGTAGTTGCAAACCTGGCCTTTGTGTCTGTCGCGCCAATGCCTACCTTCGTGCACTATTCGCTGTAGAGTCTGTAGATTGGATTCGTATTAGAAAATGAACAAAAAGCGATAGTTTTACACCTGTCCTTCGTGTCGACGTCGGATTTGGAGCAACCGCCACTGCCAGCCGCTTCATTTCGGTACAACCCTCTCGAGGATCGTGGGCCTGGCCCTCCGACGCGCGATTCCGGCGCGCACTTCACTAGGATCGTGGCCCTGGTCCAAGTGGGAGCGCTGCCGAAGGCCCACCGACTTTCAATTCGGGCACGCCGCTCACGAGGATCGTGTCCTGGCCCACCTGGGAGCGCTGCCGACGGCCCACCGATGAGCAATATCGGCGCACCCATCACACGGATCGTAGACCTCGCCACATTTGGATCGCCGCCCGACGCTGAAGTTCGGCACACCTCTCACATGGATCGTGGCCCTGGCCCAATATGGAGCGCTGCCGACGGCCCACCGACGCCCA